TCTCTCCCCACATTCACCCCAAAGGAATGGTCATGAAGAGTGGTGGGAAGGACCCTGGCCATGTGCGCCCTGGCAGAGCAGGGGATAGGTCCCGAGTTTGGTTCTTTTTTTTTTTTTTTACTTTTATTTAATGAATATAAATTTCCAAAGTACAGCTTATGGATTACAATGGCTTCCCCCCCCCCCATAACTTCCCTCCCACCCGCAACCCTCCCCTTTCCCGCTCCCTCTCCCCTTCCATTCACATCAAGAATCATTTTCAATTCTCTTTATATACAGAAAATCAGTTTAGCATATATTAAGTACAGATTTCAACAGTTTGCACCCACATAGAAACACAAAGTGAACAATACTGTTTGAGTACTAGTTATAGCATTAAATCTCAATGTACAGCACACTAAGGACAGAGATCCTACATGAGGAGTAAGTGCACAGTGACTCCTGTTGTTGACTTAACAAATTGACACTCTTGTTTATGGTCTCAGTAATCACCCTAGGCTCTTGTCATGAGTTGCCAAGGCTATGGAAGCCTTTTGAGTTCACCGACTCTGATCATATTTAGACAAGGTCATAGTCAGAGTGGAAGTTCTCTCCTCCCTTCAGAGAAAGGTGCCTCCTTCTCTGATGACCTGTTCTTTCCACTGGGATCTCGCTCTGAGTTAGGTTCTTCAAGGAGCTCACGCTTCACAGGGGCTGCTTTTGCTCACTTTAGAATGAAGCTGGAGGCATCTGGGGCTCACCCAAGCTGCATCCTCCTGTTCCCTTCTTTCCAAAGAACCCACTTTTAAATACAGCGGCATTAGGACTGTGCACACTGCATCCCAGTACCCAGTAACTCAAAATAGGCTGCCGTGCTCATCCAAACCCTTACGGAAGTAACTGTGAAGCCACAGGGATAGAAAGAGCCCTAGCATGCACTGACACTGCCAAAATTGTGTCCTTCAGGGATCTCAGACTCACCTAAGGTCCCCTTTCACAGAGGCTCAAGGCACCGCTTTTGCAGGAAGTTCCCGGACCATTCTTTCAAACTCTTGCCCAGATGGGCTCTCCCTACTTTGCAATAGTCATTCACCACCCTCCTCTACTCCTTTAGTCATCCTGCTCTGGTGTCTGTTTTTAGAAGCTCATACCACTTTCCCAGAATACTCCCAATCAACCTGTATCTTCTCCCATCTGCAACCCCTGTCTCCAGGAAGTCTTCCCTGACTAAGCAGCCAACAAAATCTGGCCTCGCTCCACACCCACCACTCTCTTCAAAGAGCTTCTCCTTTGTTTTCAAACAATGTAAATACTGCAACTTATTTATTAGTTTACTCTGTTTTGAACAGACTCTCTAGAAGAATAGTTACAGGTGATGTCTTCTAAGAAGGACGGCATGTAACCTCATGTGCAAAGGACTGGAACGTGGAGCAGCAAACGAAGGCTGCTGCCAGGGATGTGACTCTGCACGCACTGGCTCAGACTTTGTCTTCAGAACCTGAACTTCTGCATCTCCACTGGTGCTGACTGTATGGGCAGCATTAGCCAGATGTTCCAGCAGTGTTCATTCAACAAAAGCTTATCAAGAGCGGAGTCTGAGCCAAGCACTGTGTTAAATGCTGGGGTCATGGTCCCATTGAAAGTGATGGACAATTAATTTGGTGGCTCACAATGAACCACCCCCTTTGAGTACACATGCTCTTTCTGGACTCTGAACTGGCATGTGATCTGCTTACATTGATAGAATTAGGTAGAAGTGGTCGGGTACCAATTCCAGGCTCACCCCCAAGAAGGCCTGGATGTTTCTGCGTTGGCTGTTTTCAGATTCCTGAGCTACTGTGTATGAAGTCCAGCTACTCTGCTGGAGAAATCACATGAAAAGACTTCTTGCACAGGGAGAAGCTGTCAGACTACAAGGAAAGGCAGGGAAGCTCAGCCACCAGGCTTCCAGCAGAACCCAGCCTCCTGCCAACCTAACTGCATGCAACCTAACATGAGTGACCAGCAGCGAGACCAGCAGAAGAACCAACAGCTGAGCCCAGCTTTGTTATGGAGTAAATGATAATAACAACACTGGAGATGAATGTATGGCCCTCCAAGGCAGATTTGAAACACTTTGATAGATCTAATGCTTAGAAATTTAAGAACAAGCAAAGTCACAGTAACAACAGGTCTTAGAAAACAACAAACTAGACCACATCAAGTTATTAGACAAGGATAAACATGTCTCTCTTCCCTAAAATAAACCATAAAATTAAGTCAATTCCAAATATTACCAACTGAAAAAAATTTTTTTTGGTATTCCAGGCAAGCAGATGTTAAAGTTCATGTGGGGAAATAAATAAGCAAAACTAGCCAGGAACATTATGGAAAAATGATGATGACAAATGGAGGAAGAGGATCTAAGCAGAAAATACAGCTATCATGATGCGCAGAGGTTAAAGCTGAATGGCATGGGTATATGAAAAAGAACAGAACAGGAACAAACACCAGTTTTATTAGATGTTATCAGATGAAACTGTGGCCTCTCGGGTGTTATTCCCCATAAAATATTATTATGCAGGGTATTCAGAGAAAACCAAAACACCAGCATTCAGAAAATCCAGTTCAATCCAATTGCTTCAACATTTTTTAGGGGGTGATTTTTGCTCTTTGGGGTGACTCAGTATATTTTTCCGATTTACTGGTTTCTTACCATAATGGCCTTTGGGTTTGGGGAAAGAAGGGATGCTGGCGTCATCTGGGAAGATCCTCATACCCGCTCTGGCCCTTGGGTTTCCACTGCAATGGCCCACTCCCGCTTCTCTGGCGTATCTGGTGATGAGATCTGTGTCCTTAACCACGTGGCTCACTTTAGCTCTCAGTGGCACAGCATGACCCCAGTGGCTTCCTGTCCATGTCCAGACTCACAGGCCCTCAGATGCAGGGCAATTCTGTCACTCTCGCTGTTGTCCCCTGAGATTGCCAGTCACTTCAACTGGCTCCTTCCACCATCTTGCACGTGATGTGTGGAGATCTCCAAAAGCTTTCTGCTCAGCCAGAGCTCCAGTGGCAGGTCCCACAGTGCTGAACGGTGTCCTTTCCTCTGATGAACGCCAGCACAGTGCAATTTTGCTGTCTTATCATGGCGGATGGGGGTGCCCTGACAGTGTGACTCCCGGCTGTGTCTAGAGGGCTCCAAGACCACCACCTACAGGGGGTGGTCAGGCTCTGGATCCGAGCCTCCTCCTCTTCCTAGGTGCCCTCAGGTCCCCAAGGGCAGAAGGGACAACATTTCCACATCCCCCTTCTTTCTCAGACTGGCTCTAGAGCTCATCCTCATGGAAAAATGGAACAACAGCTGTTTATTTTGGTGCAAAAAAATCTGAAATCCATGCATCCATGGAGTCTTCAAAAAGTTCATGGAAAGTACTTATTATGAAAGAAGTATACATGGACTTAAACATTTTTGCACCAAAATAAACTTAGCTTCTAGATCCATTTCCTATAAACTTTGTAAAATACTCTCATTTTATTGCAACTGATTTCAGCAAGTAAGTTGATAATATTATAACTAAACATTTATTTTAAAAGTATTTTTGTATAATTCAGGGCATAAAATAGATTCTTTAAATGCATGTTTTTTAAAAATTTGTTCCTTTAAGAGTTCTATAATACACACTGTTATTAATGGTCAGTCACCCAGTTTGCTGCCCTGTTACAATTACAGTCTTACTTAATCATTTCCTTGTCTTTAGGTAATCATTTATCTGGAACTTCCAAGAGTAGCAAGAGCTGTAACCTCATGTAGCTAAAACAAATCTGACATTGTGGGTTTGTTTACACGACTTTTTCCAAATCAGACTCAGAAGGAGATATGAAAGAGAAAGGAAGTTTTGTTAGGGGAAAAATGGTTTCTGAGAATTCGGGGGCTCTGATCTGATGCATTAACGAGTGGGGGGAGCCACGCGCTTATGTGCACCTTACATGCCCCATGCCATGAAGCCTCTGGCGGGCAAAACCCTTCAGACAACATCAGGGATAAACTCAGGCCTGGACCCTTCGTGGCCACACCCCGAAGGACTCTCTTCTGCTTCCTCTCGCTCTGGCTTGGGTGATAGCTCAGGGGTCTCCCCAGACCAAAGCCCCCTGCAAGTTAAATCCAGTGTTTCAGGGGATGCTGGGAATGCTAGGGGTGAGGAGGTCACAGCGCCCATCACCCAGGCAGTGTTTATTGATGCCTTTGAACTTTTGTTCTCTTTGACTGTGAATGACAAAAGAAATGAGGAGTAATTTTAGTAAGGAGGATTTCTAAGGAAGCAATCACTTGTCAAACCGGAATGTTTTTTTTTTTTTTAAAAGAATTCTTGGGTTGGGCTTACAACAACAAAAATAAATAGTAGTAAATATTAAAATCTGCCAGTAAATCTCAGGAATTTAAGTGTTCTACCAGTTTCCGAAAACAAGCAAAATCATTTCTTGCAAACAGCGAATTCCACAGAAATTTCCAAACCCAAGTGTTGCCACCTGGTCCCCTCAAGGAGCAGAAGCTTGGTTTACTCTGGCTCCTGATCCCCTCCCTCGCTCCCTCTTTGCCCCTTAGGGATCCCCTGCTGCCACTGGGACTGACCACACTTGTGAGCGGGGTCTGGGTCTTGGTTCACACAAGTCTTTCTTAGCACATTATTTGGACTCACTGAGTTGTTGTGGACTAAAAGAAGGCATGATTATGAAAGATTACCTTAAAAATGTTGTTTGGGATGTGGCTGAGGCTTTCGGGCGGGACCTAGAGGCACCCCACTAGTTGGCCAAATTGTGTTCACCTGCCAGGGTCACCCCCTACTTTCTACATGCTCACAGGATCAGAAGAGGGCAGACAGGGCACACACAGAATGTGGCAAATCAGAGAGAATTTGCACGCACACCCACTGGAATCTTTTCCCCACTTTTTTTTTTTTTTTTTTTTTTTTAATCAGGGAAGGAAATGAAACAAGACACTAAGGTCAAAGTGTCCCCTCTTCTCTTTTTCCTAACCACTCTTCTGGTAGACAGGCTCGGTTTAAATGGCTGTTCCTGTTAAATGGCTCACAAGGAATAAGGGAGCTCTGACCGGACAAAGGCAGCCCACGCACCTGTGCTCTGGGCCCATTCTTCAGCTCTGGGAGCAGAGACTCCGGCATCCTGACTCAGGTGAGTTTCCCAGGGATCTGTCCTCAGTCCTTTAACCTCCCCTCCCCGCTCCCCCACCCCCACCCTCACCCTCACCCTCACCCTCCGCAATAACGAGTCCATCTTGTGAGCTCAAACCATAGCAAATGTGAATGCCACAGGTTACTTAATGCTTGGGATTGTGACAAGTTAGAAATCTGCAACGTGAAGTTATTCATTCATGCAACTATCATCAGTAGAGGGTCTGGGGTTATAAGCAAGAGAGATGGAGCAAAGAATTCCGGTAGGATTCTTCAGCCCTGATGCTTCAGTTTAATAGAATTTCCCCAAATCCTTTCATAGAGAATTCCCAAGAACTCTGCAATGGTTCTCCACAGTTATTAGTTTTCCTTCATTTTTAAACACAGAGGCTTCATAACAATGTATTCCTAAAATCAATGGTCAGGGGAAAGAAGGAAAACACCAAAAGTAAACCGTCAGAACACAAATGTTATCTGAAATACTCTGAGATGATGCAAATGAAACCCCATGAAAGCTGCCTCTTCACTCTCAGTAACATGGAGAGTGGAAGACAATGCATATTTACCTGTCCATGCACGAGTGTGAAAATAATTTTTAAATTACTTATTTTTACACAAGTCTTATATGCACATAATTTAGAAAATAAAATATTGGGCATCAGTGTTGTGGCACAGCGGGTAAAGCAGCTGCCGGTGATGCCAGAATCCCATACGGGCAACGGTTCGAGGCCCAGCTACTCCACTTCAATCCAGCCTCCTGCTAATGTCCCTGAGTAAGCAGCAGAGGATGGCCCAAGCACTTGGGCCCCTGCACCCACATGGGAGACCTGGAAGAAGCACCTGGTTTCAGTCTAGCTCAGCCCTGGCCATTGCAGCCATTTGGGGAGTAAACCAGCAGATGGATGATCTCTCTGTCTCTCCTCTGTAACTCTGCCTTTCAAATAAGTAAATAAATCTTTTCATCCACAGAGTTCTTTCCATTGTTACAGCTTTTTTTCTGGTACTTACTGAATATCTATATTGTGTGATCTCCTGATTGAGCTATTTTAGAGATTATCCATTTCATTTGCGATGCATGAAGATTTTACTCCTCGACATTCCCATTTCAGGGCCCAGATTCAGGCAGTCACTGTTATAACCATTTTAGTAAATACTGAGATACAGAAGCTTCCCCAGCACCCCCATCCCTGCCATCCTGGCTGCCCCACCCCCTTCCCAGGTCACCTTGGACCTCTCTAAGACCAGCAGCCACAGGTGTTTGACTGCTCTGTGTCCATGCTGTGTTGATTGCCAATACACATCCTCTGAGCCTTCCAGTATAACTGCGCCAAAGCTTTGGTCTGTTGTGTGTTGCTGTAATAGAACACTTGAGGTTGGGTGATTTATAAAGAACTGAAGTTTATATTTGTTCACAATTGTGGAGGTCCAGAGCATGGCACCTGCATGTGCACAGCCTCTGGTGAGGGCCACGTGCTTCTCCATGCACGCAGAAAATCAGAAGAGCAAGCGATGTGTAGAGCAAGCGATGCGTGCAAAGAGATCATCTGGTGAGAGAGGAAGATTTTCTTTACAACAATCCCCTCTCCGGGAACTACATGAATCCCTTATGAGGGTACAGCCTCCATGACCTCATTACCTCCTAAAGGGCTCACCACCTCTCAATGCCATTACATTGGCTTCAAGCTTCAGTGTGACAAATCCCTTCCAAACCACAAGATTTGGTATTCTCCAGGTCTTAGAATGTTTCTTATACTATTTCCATTTCCTATTCTCTTTTTAAATTGAGATATACTTGACATACCAATCCATTTGCCCTTTTAAAGCATACTGTTCAATATTTTTTCAGTCTACTCACCAAGAAGCCATTACCACCTCAAGTTTAGATTATTTTCATCAGCCCCTTTGACAGCATTCTCTCTGCTTGGGACTGAATTTGACATTCTTGTGCTTGTTTTATACTTTGCTGAAAGAGAATTTTAAGACCCATTCAATCCTGCCTCCTTCTTACCGTAGGAAGGTCAAGACTTGATTTTCAATTTTTTCCTTCAACTTTTCCAACATTACCTAAAACTACAGACTTTTCCTTTCATTCCTCTGAGCTTGCTAGTTCTTGGCCTATCCAGAAATGCAATTTCTCTTCCTACAGTGTATACCAATTCAGTATTGTTATTTTTATCAGTAATGCTTACCTTAGTTAAAATGCTAAAACATTGTTTTTTCACCAGCATTTATATTTTAAACTGATACTAACTGTGGAGTGAATCTTTCGGGTTCTCAAAGTGATTTCAAGCCATAGCTATCTGTCTAGGGGCTTTATAATAAAACAAACTTTAAAAAAATTATAAAAGTTTCCAGACACAAAAGAAGAAATATATCCATCACACAGATTCAACATTATCAAGATGCTTGCCAATTTACTTAATGCATTTTTTCTTAATATTTCTAGGATTTCTTAAACATTCCATAGCAAATCCAAAACTTCATGTCATTTAACTCTATGTATCTTTTTTCTTTTTTTTTTTAACTATGTATCTTCATATGCATTTTTTAAAGGGAGAGGCAGCTTTTATATAATCAAAAATGCAATTATATGAGCTAATAGAATTAGTCTTTAGTTTGGGATCTTTTGTTTAAATTTTAGCTCTCACATATAAAAGAGAACATGCAGTATTTGTTCTTTCTGTGTGTCTGGGGGCTTTTGAAATGAAACACTCATAGAATGTTAATACTGTGGGGAAAAAAAAAAAAAGCACTGGGATAGGCATTTGGCGCAGTGGCTTCAGTCCCTGCATGGGTTGCCTGCTCTCTTCTGATTCAGCTTCCTGCTAATATGCCTGGAAGGCAGCAGATGATGCCTCAAGTACTTGAGAAGCTGCCATCCTGTGGGAGACATGAGGAATTCCAGGCTCCTAGTTTGGCCTGGCCCAACCCTGGCTGAAGCAAGCATCTGGGGGTGAACTAGCAGACAGAAAGTATCTCTCTCTTTCTCAAATAAAGCTGAAAATAAATAAAAACTTTTAAAAACCTTTATTTATTTATTTGAAAGGCAGAATTACAGAGAAAGGGAGAGACAGAAAGAGACAGAAATCTTCTATCTGCTGGTTCACTCCCCCAAATGGCCACAAAAGCCAGGGCTGGGCAAGGTCAAAGCCCAGGAGCTTCATCCAGGTCTCCCACATGGGTACAGGGTCCAAGTACTTGGGCCATCTTCCACTGCTTTCCCCAGGCCATTAGCAGGGAGCTGGATTGGAAGTGAAGCAGCTGCAACTTGAACCAGTGTCCATGTGGAATGCCAGTGTCACAGGTGGTGCCTTAACCCACTACACCACAATACCCGCCCCAATAAATAAAACATTTTTTAAGTACTAATCAGTACAGAAACAATAGCAATATTCTGTAGCCTCAAAACAGTTTTAAATAAATGTTTAGTATGTTTTGAAATGCAGGGTACTAGCCTATCATCCAAGACTGAGTTCAAGAATGCCTAAGAAAACTTAAAAATACACAGTATCAAGAAATCACTTTGTATATTTTTAATTACAAAAACCACATTGCTGTGTACAAATATACACATCTCAAATTGTATCATTAAAACAGAGAATGCAAAAAAATGCAATAAAGTGGCTTTCTAAGTTTTCTTCACTGAGACAGATGTTCTGACAAATCCGAACATTTATGACTGCTAAGACATAATGAGCAAGAAGTTACAAATCTTGCACCTCATGATTAGTAAATTCCTCTGAAGGTTAGTATAGTCATCAAAAGGCGGAACTGGTAAATCAGATGGCCCGGCCTACACTGTAGGAGTAAAAGACATAATATGAGGTATAACAAGCAATAGGGAAATGTTAGAAGTATGGGCAAGTATAATTTTCTCAGATTTCTATCAATGATTATAAATCTGATATACATATAAACATCATTAAATGTAAAATAGTTCAGTATAACTGCATTTGTTCTATAATGACAATTTGCCAATGTATTAATCTGAATTAATCTGATACATATTTTGCAGTGGATTGATCTATAAAGAAATAGATGAGAAATCCTGAAAAGAAACTATTAGTTCCAAATCAAATTATGTTAAAAGGTCTACAGAAAATAAAAGTGTGAGCAGAAAACATAGGCTGCATACCAATTTTTATTTCTGAGTGATTCTTACACAGATAATAGTCTTCATTGTCTTATAAAAGCAAAACAAAAACTTCTAAAATTAATCCTACAGATCAAAATTAGCTGAAATTAGAGTAACAGCCAAAGCCAGCTTTGTCATCTGCACATTAATTTGATAATCAAACTGCACGTTAAAAAAAGGTATCTGCCACTGTGTAGAAATGATTACTTCTCAGCACATAAATAAGGAACATTACACAGCATTTTTTTTTCAATGTCTATCAGGGAAACACAACAGAATGTGCTGCTTGGGAAATTCCATAAAAGCAGCCAGGCAAGTCAAGAGTTAATGTCATTCAAGGACAATAAAACTTTGCACTCTAAGGCCCACTGATGGGCTCAGTGCTAAGATTAAAAAAATATTTATACGCTTTTCACCTACTACAGATGCAATGGTGAGAAATGAAAACAGCATGACATCATATTCCAGAGAATCACTAGTAAAAGAGTTATTTGTTGTTTTAAGTGAAGTCCTGTCCAAACTCTGGACTGTAATCTAAATGTTGACAGTGCCTATTTCCAAATCCTAAAAGAAACAAAAAGAGCTTATGTATCAAGATTAATTTTCTTTGGTCGCAGCGGATACCATTTTCTCTGGGGGCAATCTGCAGTTCTCTTTCTCTTCAATACCACATCAGAGGTTTTCCTGGACACAGTCTCTGGTGGTGTGGTTTCTATTTTTGTTATGAAGCTCTCAGGTTTAGCATCTGATTTCCTACAACAACCAGAAAAGACTTCTTGGTGGACCCTCTGGAGCTGGATAACAGGTTGCATCTTTAAAACTTGGGAAAATCCATCTCCTTGTTCGATTAATGCAGGCAAGGACTTAAAAAAAAAGGAATATGCAAAGTTAATCTCAGGTTGAAGTACAAACATACAGAGATGGACACAACACTCTAGATTTTAATTCTTTAGGAAAATGCTTTTTCTGAGACCTGTGTTTTGTGGGGGTGGGGAGTATTCAAATTTGTCAAAATACAAGTTAAGCTGAGGGATTTTAACTAAAAGCTAAGATTAGAAAAGCCAGATCCAAAGCCAGGAGCCAGGTGCTTCCTCCTGGTCTCCCATGCGGGTGCAGGGCCCAAGCACTTGGGCCATCCTCCACTGCCCTCCCGGGCCACAGCAGAGAACTAGACTGGAAGAGGAGCAACCAGGACTAGAACCTGGTGTCCATATGGATTGCCAGCGCCGCAGGCGGAGGATTAGCCAAGTGAGTCACAGCGCCAGGCCCAAATTAAGGATTTAATTTATTTTAGAATAATGAGTATTTTAGACATCTTAATCACCAAAACCAGGATCAGTACACTTTGTCCAGGGAAGACTAGACAGTAAACACTTTAGGCTCTTAGTACTTCCATCTATCTTAAGAACTCAACTCTGCTGTTATAACACAGAAGTTAGTTATAGCACAGAAGACGCAAGTAAAAGAACAAACACAGCTCTGTTCCAATAAAGCTTTATTTACAAAAAATAGTGGCAGGCTGAACTTTAGCCTGGCCCACCACAGTCTGCCAAAACTAAATAAAGAACATGCTATGAGAGATGGATGGTCGCCAGAAAATCATGGAATCAATCCGAACAACAAAAAAAGTTTTAAAAAATTAACACTGAGGGCCGGTGCTGTGGTGCCGCAGGTTAACACCCTGGCCTGAAGTGCCAGCATCCCATATGGCCGCCAGTTCTAGTCCCGGCTGCTCCTCTTCTGATCCAGCTTTCTGCTATGGGCCCCTGCACCCAAGTGGGAGACCTGGAAGAAGCTCCTGGCTCCTGGCTTTGGATTGACACAGTTCCGGCCATTGTGGCCAATTGGGGAGTGAACCAACAGATGGATGATCTCCCTCTCTTTCTCTCTCTCTGTCTCTCCTTCTCTATCTGTGTAACTCTGACTTTCAAATAAATAACTAAATTTTTTTTTTTTTTTTTTGACAGGCAGAGTGGACAGTAAGAGAGACAGAGAGAAAGGTCTTCCTTTGCCGTTGGTTCACCCTCCAATGGCCGCCGCGGCCGGTGTGCTGCGGCCAGTGCACTGCGCTGATCCGATGGCAGGAGCCAGGTGCTTCTCCTGGTCTCCCATGGGGTGCAGGGCCCAAGCACCTGGGCCATCCTCCACTGCACTCCCTGGCCACAGCAGAGGGCTGGCCTGGAAGAGGGGCAACCGGGACAGAATCCGGCGCCCCGACCGGGACTAGAACCCGGTGTGCCGGCGCCGCTAGGCGGAGGATTAGCCTAGTGAGCCGCGGCGCCGGCCTCTTTCTTTTTTTAAAGATTTAGTTATTGGACCGGCGCCGCGGCTCACTAGGCTAATCCTCCGCCTTGTGGCGCCGGGACACCAGGTTCTAGTCCCAGTCTGGGTGCCAGATTCTGTCCCGGTTGCCCCTCTTCCAGGCCAGCTCTCAGCTGTGGCCCGGGAGTGCAGTGAAGGATGGCCCAAGTACTTGGGCCCTGCACCCCATGGGAGACCAGGAGAAGCACCTGGCTCCTGGCTCCTGCCACCGGATCGGCGCGGTGCGCCGGCCGCAGCGCGCTGGCCGCGGCGGCCATTGGAGGGTGAACCAACGGCAAAGGAAGACCTTTCTCTCTGTCTCTCTCTCTCACTGTCCACTCTGCCTGTCAAAAAAAAAAAAAAAAAAAAAAAAAAAAAGAAAGAGAGATTGTAGAGCCAGACATCTGGGGTTTAAATGTTGGCTCAGTTACTTATTTGGAAAATCTACATAGCCTTTTGGGTGCCTTACCTTCCTCATCTCTAAAATGAAGAAAAATGGTAACAATCTCATAGGGTCAGTGTAAAGATTAAATGAGTTAATATACATAAAGCAGTTAGAGGGTGACTGACTTATAAAAAACATTCAATAAATCTTAGCTGGTATTATTACCCAAAACTGTTTAATGGACTGCTAACACTCATTATCTAAAAATATAACTAATTTTTAAATAAGCCAGGTATAATATCTGGCAAATACATAGCAGTAATAGTGCTTGATAAACATTTAAAAATTACGGTTGTGTAATAAATTGATTATAGATTTATCTAAAAGACTACCACAAATTTTTGTTACAGCAAACTAAAACATATATGGAGGTTGAAAGCAAATACCTACTCAGACATTCTGCTCATTTTATAAATTTTTAGCATGTAATTTTTACCTTCATTGCTTCGCTGATATCCTGAGCTATGATTTCTCCTCTGTGTTTCAAATTTCCCATACGAGAAGCTGCAAAGAAATAACCAAACAGTATTTTAGATTTTTCATCTAATAGCAAATGACAAAAGGCATGCAGATGCTATCTGGACAAAAATCTGTTAGGATCATTCACCTTGGCTTCACCATTCTTAGATTACTTTGTAATCTGTAAAAACAAGTGTACTATTAAATTTACTCAAATTAAAAGACTATACAGACATTAAAATAATAGAGTAAAAGTTCTAAGTATAACAGACAAGATTCTGAGTATTTGCAACATTGTGTGCCCCTAAAACAAAGCCCAATCTTCATTCTAAATATTATCTATCATTATGTTTAATATCATTGAGCACTATCATCATATTTTTAAATAAATATAAGGTAATACTGTTACTCTGGATTTTTTTGTTTGTTTGTTTGTTTTTTTTTTTTTTGACAGGCGGAGTGGACAGTGAGAGAGAGAGACAGAGAGAAAGGTCTTCCTTTGCCGTTGGTTCACCCTCCAATGGCCGCCGCGGCCGTCGCGCTGTTGCCGGCGCACCGCGCTGATCCGATGGCAGGAGCCAGGAGCCAGGTGCTTTTCCTGGTCTCCCATGGGGTGCAGGGCCCAAGGACCTGGGCCATCCTCCACTGCACTCCCTGGCCACAGCAGAGGGCTGGCCTGGAAGAGGGGCAACCGGGACAGAATCCGGCGCCCCGACCGGGACTAGAACCCGGTGTGCCGGCGCCGCTAGGCGGAGGATTAGCCTAGTGAGCCGCGGCGCCGGCCAAGGATTTTTTTTTTTTAAACAGGCAGAGTGGACAGCGAGGGAGAGAGTCAGAGAGAAAGGTCTTCCTTTGCCGTTGGTTCACCCTCCAATGGCCGCCGCGGCTGGCGTGCTGCGGCCGGCGCGCTGCAGCCGGCGCACTGTGCTGATCCAAAGCCAGGAGCCAGGTGCTTATCCTGGTCTCCCATGGGGTGCAGGACCCAAGCACTTGGGCCATCCTCCACTGCACTCCCTGGCCACAGCAGAGAGCTGGCCTGGAAGAGGGGCAACCGGGACAGAATCTGGCACCCCGACCGGGACTAGAACCCGGTGTGCCGGCGCCGCTAGGCAGAGGATTAGCCTATTGAGCTGCAGCGCCGGCCACTCTGGATCTTTTTTTTTTTTTTTTTAATTTTTGGACAGGCAGAGTGGACAGTGAGAGAGAGAGACAGAGAGAAAGGTCTTCCTTTGCCGTTGGTTCACCCTCCAATGGCCGCCGCGGCCGGCGCGCTGCGGCCGGCACACCGCGCTGATCCAAAGGCAGGAGCCAGGTGCTTTTCCTGGTCTCCCATGGGGTGCAGGGCCCAAGCACCTGGGCCATCCTCCACTGCACTCCCTGGCCACAGCAGAGAGCTGGCCTGGAAGAGGGGCAGCTGGGACAGAATCCAGCGCCCCGACCGGGACTAGAACCCGGTGTGCCGGCGCCGCTAGGCGGAGGATTAGCCTAGTGAGCCGTGGCGCCGGCTCCACTCTGGATCTTTTTTAAAAAAGATTTATTTATTTGTTTGAAAGGCAGAGTTACAGAGAGGCAGAGCAGGGGCAGAGAGAGAGGTTTTCCATCTGCCCATTCACTCCCCCAGATGGTCGCAACAGTTGAAACTGCGCCAATCTGAACCTAGGAGCCAGGAGCTTCCTCCGGGTCTCCCATGTGGGTCAGGGTTCCAAGGACTTGGGCCATCTTCTGCTGCTATTCCAGGCCATAGCAGAAAGCTGGATCAGAAGAGGAGCAGCCAGGACTAGAACTGGCGGCCAAATGGGATGCCGGCACTGCAGGCAGTGGCTTTACCTGCTACACTACAGTGCCAGCCCCTACTCTGCATTTTTTTTTTTAACCCAAAATACACTTGGATTTAGAATATACAGTCACATAGTATTGAGGCCACAACTATATGGAATAACACATTGTCAGTAACATGAATTTCTCTTCATTTAAAAAAAAAAAAATTTATTTGAGGGGCCAGCACTGTGGCACAGCATGTTAAAGCCCTGGCCTGAAGTGCTGGCATCTCATTTGGGCACCGGTTCTAGTCCCAGCTGCTCCTCTTCCAATTCAGCTCTCTGCTATGGCCTGGGATAGCAGTAGAAGATGGCTCAGGTCCTTGGGCCCCTGCACCCACATGGGAGACCTGGCAGAAGCTCCTGGCTCCTGGCTTCGGATCAGCACAGCTCCGGCCGTTGTGGCCATCTGGGGAGTGAACCAGCAGATGGAGGACATCTCTCTCTGTATCTATCTCTCTCTGTAACTCTGTCTTTCAAATAAATAAAATAAATCTGTAAAAAAAAATTATTTGATTATTTATTTATTTATTTGAGAGGGAGAGTTACAGAGAGAGAGAGACAGAAGTCTTCCATCCACTGGTTCACTCCCCAAATGGCGGCAATAGCCAGAGCTGGGCTGATTCAAAGCCAGGAGCCAGGAGCTTCTTCCGGGTCTCCCACATGGGTGCAGGGGCCCAAGGACTTGGGCCATCTTCTACTGCTTTCCCAGGCCAGGAGCTGGATGGGAAGAGGAGCAGCAGGCAAAGGAACCGGTGCCCATATGGGATGCCAGCACTGCAGGTGGAGGATTGGCCCTCTACACCACAGTGCAGGCCCTTTTCTCTTGATGCTCTTTTGATTTTTAAAAATAATTCTTTTTTTTTTTTTTTTTTTGAAAGGCAGAAGGAAAGAGAGACAGAGACAGAGACAGAGACAGAGACGGAGAAAGTACTTTCCACTTTCTTGTCTACTCCCCAAATGACTACGACAACTAGGGCTAGGCCACGGCGGGGACCAGAAACACAAAGCAGGTCTTTCACATGAGCAGCAGGAATTCAGTGACGAAGTCATTACAGCTCCTTCCTAGGGTCTGCATTAGTGGGAAGCTGGAGTCAGGAGCCCAGGTGTATGTCAAACCCAGGTGCTTCCATATAAGACTCAAGTGTCCTAACTGGCATCTTAAGCGCCAGGCTAACATTGGTTCCTTTTCTGGTTCTTAATAAATTTTTTCCTCCTAATCTTTGTTGTAAATGTTCATAGCTACTCCGTAACACATAAACACATATTCACTGATCTGAAGGATAAACATCTTGGTAAAACTAAAAAAAAACCTGGAAATAAGAAAAATCATTCCATTATGAAATCAGCTACAAATTAGTTCTTAAAAGAGTAATTATCATTAGAAATTGAGTCAAACAAAGCACATAACTATGTTAGGAGGGCCACAACTTTACTGGCTTCACCAGATTGGCAAATAAGCCAGACAAATAATTTTTTTCACAGTTGCTATTTTTCTTTTCTCATTTTTTAAAGCTCATCTCAAAAAGACCATTTGGGCCTTGCGGCGCCGGCACACCGGGTTCTAGTCCCGGTTGGGGCGCCGGATTCTGTCCCGGTTGCCCCTCTTCCAGGCCAGCTCTCTGCTGTGGCCCGGGAGTGCAGTGGAGGATGGCCCAAGTGCTTGGGCCCTGCACCCCATGAGAGACCAGGATAAGTACCTGGCTCCTGCCATCGGATCAGCGCGGTGCACTGGCCGCAGCGCGCCGGCCACGGCGGCCATTGGAGGGTGAACCAACGGCAAAGGAAGACCTTTCTCTCTGTCTCTCTCTCTCACTGTCCACTCTGCCTGTCAAAAAAAAAAAAAAAAAAAAGATAATCTACAGAATGGGAGAAAATATTTGCAAAGTATTCATCTGATAAGAAATTAATATACAGAATATATAGGAAAATAAAATAACATAACAGCAAAAAATTCCCAAATAATCTAATTTAAAAATGGGCAAATGACCTAAATAGGCATTTCTCAAAAGATGATATGGAGGGGCCATCGCTGTGGTGTAGCAGGTAAAGCTGCCACCTGCAGTGCCAGAATCCCATAGGGGCCCCGGTTCAAGTCCTAGGTGCTCCACTTCCTATCCAACTCTCTGCTATGGCCTGGGAAAGCAGTAGAAGATGGCCCAAGTGCTTGGGACACTGCATCCATATGGGAGACCTAGAAGAAGCTCCTGGCTCCTGGCTCCAGATTTCAGCACATTCCAGCCATTGTACCCAACTGGAGAGTGAACCAGCAGATGGAAGATCTCTCTCTCTCTCTCTCTTTCTCTCTCTCTGCCTCTCTGTAACTATAACTTCCAAATAAATAAACAAATCTTAAAAAAAAAAAAAGATATGGAAAGGGTCTACAAATATATGAAAAAAAAAGCTCAATATCACTAATCACTAGCTAGTTAGAATGGTTATTATAAAAAAGACAAAAAAAATGCTGGTAAGGATGTGGAGAAAGGCAAACTCTCATATGTTATTGGAGGGAATATAAAACAATATAGTCCTATGGGAAACAGTATGGAGGTTCCTCAAAATACTGGAAATAAAACTTCCATATGATCCAGCATTCCTACTACCTATATGTAAAAGAAATATCTGTACTCCCATGTTCTTTGCAACATTACTCACAACAGGCAAGATTTGGAATCAACCCAAGTATCCACTGATGGATGAACAGATAAGAAAATGTGGTATATTAATACAATGGAGTATTATTCAGCCATAAAAATGAATGATACTCTTTCATGTGCAGCAAATATGGACAAAACTAGAAGGCATTATATTAATTGAAATAAACCAGGCACAGAGAGAGAATTATCACATGTTCCTACGTATATGTGGAAGCTACGAAGTTGATTTCAAAGATGTAGAGAGCAGAATAAAGGCTATCAGAGCCTAGAAAGGGTGACAGGAAAAGGTGATGGAGAGAAGACGGCTAACAGGTAAGAGGGGTGCAGTTAGCCGGAAAAATAATTTCCAGTGTTCTATAGCATAATGTTGATGACAACAGTTATTTCCAGATACCTAGAAGAAAGGATTTTGAATGTTTCCAAAAGATATAAATGATAAATGTCTCAAGTCTCAGGCCAATAACTGATTTGATCAGTATACAATGTATACATGTACTATCTCTCTGTGCCCTGCAAATATGTATAATCATTATATCAGTTAAAATAAAATTAAAATTTCATTAAAATAATTAAATTATTATATATCAATTTTTTTAAAAATAGCAAAAAGGAACTAAACAGATGTGATAGAACATAAAATTACAGTAACTGAAATGAAAAATTCACTAGAGAGATTCAACAATAGATTTGAGGAGACAGAAGAAATAATTTGTGAACTTAAAGATAGGTCAAATGAATTATCCATTCTGAGGGGCAGAAAGGAAGAAGAATGAAAGCAAAAATAAATAAGAACCTAAGAGACCGCAGGTACTAGCAAGCACACTAATATGTATATAATAGGAATCTCAAAATAAGAGACTATTTAAGGAAATAATGGCTGATAACTTCCCAATTTTTAAAAAAGATTTATTTATTTATTTGAAAGTCAGAATTAAACAGAGAGAGAAGGAGAGGCAGAGAGAGGAGGGGAGGGGTCTTCCACTCTGCAGTTCACTCCCCAGATGGCCGCAATGGCTGAAGCTGTGCTGATAAGCAGCCAGGAGCTTCTTCAGGGTCTCTCACGTGAGTTCAGGGGCCCAAGCACTTGGGCCATCTTCCACCTCCCTCCCAGGCCATACCAGAGAGCTGGATTCAAAGCAGAACAGCCGGGACTCGAACCGGTACCCATATGGGATGCCGGCAAAGCAGGCAGCAGCTTTATCCAATATGCCACAGCGCCAGCCCCAACTCCTCAAATTTAATACAACGTGACTCCACACATCCAAGAAGCTCAACAAATTCCAAAGAGAATAAGCAGAAAGAGTCATATGAAGACACAGAATAATCAGACTGCTGAAAGTCAAAAAACAAAACATCTTGAAAGGCAACAAGTGATTCATTATCTACAAGGAAATCCTCAGAAATATTAATGTCTCATTAGAAACTATGAAGAACAGAAAACAGTGAGATGATATATAAAATATGCCAATCAAGAATTTGATATTAGGCAAAAATACCCTTTAAAAATGGGGAGGAATTAGGACATTTCCGACAAGCAAAAGTTAAGGTAGGGCCAACGCCGCGGCTCACTAGGCTAATCCTCCACCTTCAGCGCCGGCACACCGGGTTCTAGTGCCGGTCAGGGCGCCGGATTCTGTCCCGGTTGTCCCTCTTCCAGGCCAGCTCTCTGCTGTGTCTGGGGAGTATAGTGGAGGATGGCCCAAGTGCTTGGGCCCTGCACCCGCATGGGAGACCAGGAGAAGCACCTGGCTCCCAGCTTCGGATCAGCGCAGTGCGCTGGCCGCAGCGCGCTGGCCGCAGCGGCCATTGGAGGGTGAACCAACAGCAAAAGGAGACCTTTCTCTCTCTCTCTCTCATTGTCCACTCTGCCTGTCAAAAAAAAAAAAAAATTTAAGGTAGTTCATCATTGGTAGACAAGCACTACGAAGACATCAACAGAGTCTGTGGGCTGAAGTGAAAGGACAACTTGACAGCACACTGAAGCCACGTGAAGAAATGCAGAAGGCAACCGCATAAGTATCAACACTGGCATTGTATTTTTAGTTTGAAACTTTTCTTCTTCTATATGATTTATAGATAAATCCATGAAACAAAAATTATACAGCTATATTAAAAGACATACAATGTATAAAGATGTAGTTTATAAAGACAATATAAAGAATGAGGAACAGAGCTGAATAGGATCAAAGTTTTTATACACATTTTTATAATTCATGTTTTAGGTTTATAACAATGTGGTTAATACACTAAGTATTAGTGTAATATACTAAGTATTAACTATATTATCATAAACCTAAAACATGAATTATAATCCCCAGAGAAATCAATAAGACTACAAACTAAATAGAAAAGAACACAAATGGTAAACTGCAAAAATACCAGTCAAACAAAAAAGGCAGTTATACAGGGATTGAGGAACCAAAAACAGAAAACACACACAAAAGTGGCAGAAGAATATCCTTCCTTACCAGCAATTACTTTAAGTGTAAATGGATTAAATTCTCCATTTAAGGCAGAAATTGAAAAATGGATTGAAAAAAAAAAAAGGACACAATCCAATCCAATCATATTGTCTCCAAGAGACTTACTTTAGACCCAAAGACATAAATAGGAGGAAAGTAAAAGGATGGACTAAGATGTTTCATGTAGGGGCAGGAGTCTGGCCTAGTGGTTAGAATACCAACTAAGATGTGTACAGCCCACATTAGAGTGCCCAGCTCTGGGTTCCAATTCCAGTTTCTTACTGATACAGACCCTGGCAGGCAACAAGTAATGGCTCAAGTAGTTGGGTCCCTGCTGTACACTGGGAGACCTAGATTTGGTTCCCAGTTTCCAGCTCCTGGCTTTGGCCTGGCCCAGTCCTGGCAGTAATAGGCATTTGGGGAGTGAACTAAAGGATGTATCTGCCTCTCAAAAACAGAAAAAGAAAAGAAATTCCATGCAAATAGTAACCAAAACAGAAGGGGTAGATACACTAACATCAAACAAAACAGATATGAAGTCAAAAAGAGACACATACTGATAAAGGGCCAACTCATCCAGAAGATCTAACAAACACATACAAACTTAACAACAGAACCCCCAATTTTAAAACATGAAAGTTGATAGAATTGAAAGAAGAAATAATTCAACAATAACTACTAAAGGCTTCCATACTCTAATTGCAGTAAAGAACAGCATCAAAGACCAATAAGGAGGCAGAGGACATGAACTCTATATTCTATAAACCTAGCCCTAACATATACAGCAATACTCCACCAGGGCTGGTGCTGTGGCGTAACAGGTAAAGCCACCACCTTCAATGCTGGCATCCCATTTGGGTACCATTTCGAGTCCTGGCTGCTCCACTTCAAATCCAGCTCTCTACTATGGCCTGGGAAAGCAGAGGAAGATGGTCCAAGTCCTTGGGCACCTGTATCTGCGTGGGAGACTCCGAAGAAGCTCCTGGTTCCTGGCTTTGGATTGGCATTTAGAGAGTGAACCAGAAGATAGAAGATACCTCTCTCTGCCTCTGCCTCTCTGTAACTTTGCCTTTCAAATAAACAAATCTTTAAAAAATATAAATAAAAGTAATGTTCCCCCCCAAAATGCTCCATCAAATAGCACAATGCACATTAATATTATTCAGTAATAAAAAGAATAAAGTACTGTTACATGCTATCACATGGCTGAAGCTTGAATACATCATGCTGACAGAACTCAGACACAAACAGCCCAAACAATGTGTGATTCCATTTATATAAAATATCCAGAACAGGCAAATCCATAGGCAGAAATCAGGTTGCCAAAGACCAGGAGAGGAGGGAATGGAGAGTTACTATTTAATGGGTATAAAGTTTCCTTTTGGGGTAATGAAAATGTCTTGTAATTAGATGGATTGCACAGCACTATGAATGTACAGTCATTGAATTACATGCTATAAATACACTTTTTTTGTATACTTTAAAACAAAACAGCATCTATATGTGTGGTCACCAAACTCCAAATGACCCCCAATGATGCCCTTCTGCTGTTCATCCCTTGTACAGTCTTCTCCCACTTTGCACTAGGGTTGGTCTGCTTGACTGGTAATCTACAGTTCAAATAACTGCACATCACTCCCAAGACTAGGTTATAAAAATGACTGTAACTTCCGGCTGGTATCCATTCTCTTTGTGTCTCTCCAGGTTATTCCTCCTGGGAGAAACAAGTTGACATGTTTGAAGGTTACAGGCGCTGTGAAGTACTGAAGTGTCTAACCAGCGGCCAGTGAGGCCTGAAATAAAGCCTGCCAATAACCACATGGACAAGCTCGAAAGTGTATTTCCTGGTCCCACTTGAGCTTTGAGAGATAACTGAAGCCCCAGTTGACAACTCTGTGAGAATCCTAAGCCAGAACTACCCAGCTAAACTACTACAGATTACTGATCCTTCCCACATCGAACTACTTGGTTTACATCCTGGCCACTCCCTTTCCTAAGCAGCTTTCTGCTAATGTGCACCTGGGAGGCAGCACTGATGGCTCAAGTACTTGGGTCCCTGCCACCCATGTGGGAGACTTGGATGGAGTTTTTGGTTCCTGACTTTGGCCTGGTCTAGCCCTGGCTGGTGCAGCCATATGGGCAATGAACAACAGACAGAAGATGTCTCCCTCCATCTTTCAAATAAAGCGGAAAGACAGAAAGACAGAAAGAAAGAGAAAGAGAAAGAGAGAGAGAAAGAGAGAAAGAAGGGAGGAAGGAAGGAAGAAAGGAAGGAAGCCAGCACGGTGGCTCACTAGGCTAATCCTCTGCCTGCAGCGCTGGTACCCTGGGTTCTAGTCCCGGTTGGGGCGCCAGATTCTGTCCCAGTTGCTCCTCTTCCAGTCCAGCTCTCTGCTGTGGCCTGGGAAGGCAGTGGAGGATGGCCCAAGTCCTTGGGCCCTGCACCCACATGGGAGACCAGGAGGAAGCACCCGGCTCCTGGCTTTGGATCGTTGCAGCGCGCTGGCTGTAGTGGCCATTTGGGGGGTGAACCAATGGAAGGAAGACCTTTCTCTCTCTCTCTCTCTCTCACTGTCTAACTCTGCCTGTCAAAGAGAGAGAGAGAGAGAGAGAGAGAGAGAGAGAGAGAAAGAAAGAGAGGGAGGAAACCACAGTAACAGATAAAAAATATTTTTTAAGCTGCCAACCTGGGATAATTAGCAGAAAGCTGTAATTGAGAGTTGAGCTGGGACTTGAACCCAAGCATTCCAAAATGGGATGCAAGTGTTTCAAGTGGCATCTTAATCTCTAAGCCAAATGTCCACCCCCCCCCCAACAGGATTCTTAGAGACCAACTGCTATCAAGAGTTTAAAAATGCCTGATGCTACTTTAAAAAAATATTCTATAAACTCACACTGCTGAACAATAGCTATTTTCCATATGTTCACAAGTCATGACAAGGTAAGAAGTACCAAGGAATAGCTTGGGTTTGTGTGTAAAATGGAGTTAGGTTCTAGGGTTGGATAATTATAAATAGGTTTTCACATAATGGTTCAAACGTCTAGTGTAATATTGGACATATAAGATATTTAGGAGGCCAGCACTGTGGCATAGCAGGTAAAGCTACCATCTGTAATGCCAGCATCTCGTATGGGTGCCAGCTCTAGTCCCAGCTGCTCCTCTTCTGATACAGCTCTCTTCTGTGGCCTGGGAAAGCAATAGAAGATGGCTCCCGGCTTTGGATCGGCCCAGCTCCGGCTGTTGCAGCCATCTGGGGAGTGAACCAATGGACAGAATACCTCTCTCTCTGTCTATCCCTCTCTGTGTCTGTAACTCTACCTCTCAAATAAATAAATCTTCTTTTGTTTTTTAAATAAAAAGACATTTAGTATCCCCAGCCCTTGTCTACAAAATAATTGCTATACCTTCTCAATAGTGTGATGACAAAAAAATTCCTCACATGTTTTCAATAGGGCCACTAGGGGGCAGAACAGACTCCAAAGGGAACCCCGGTATTCTCATTTACCTGTCAGGACTTCTTTGAGAACAGGACCTCATTCTCTCATCTTAGGATCTACAGTGTTGAACACTGTGCCCAGCTCATAGAGTAGGTGCTCAATAGTTATGATGGACCAAGGCTATGACAGAGGGTGTCATGGAGGCACAAAGGAGGGTGAGGATAATCCAACAGGCAAATTAAGGGGAGAGGAAATTTCCTTAGGAGGATCTGGTGCTAGATGGGCTGGGGGTGAGGGGGACAGGAGATGGGGGGTAGAGGGGTGTGCAATATGAAAAAAAGAGAATAAATCAAGAGGCGAAATCAGGAACCGGACTCTGAAACAGGAGAGAAGAAAAGGAAATTCTCAGGATGATGACAAAAGGAATAGATGGGGTGAAGGTTTTGCTGTCCAGACTGAAGGCTCCCCAAAGGAGTATCTCCAAGAAAAACAAAACAGGTTCAAAAATGGATTTGATGGACAACTTAAGTGTTTACCTTATTGAACAGGGATTTTACAATTCTGTTGAATTATTTTGGAAAGAATCAGTGATAGACACAATAGAAAAAGCAAACCAAATAAATAAATAAAGCAACTATCATTTTAAAAGGGGGTGAGAAGCTGTTCAAAAGAGAAAATACACTCATAGTAATATTGACTTGATTCTGACTGAAGAACACTGACATAGCAACAACAATGCAAATACTCAACAACACTGATTTTTACAAGAACTGAGAGAGTAAGAGTGAAGCTGTCTTCTGAGAAACTTGGCTTCGAAGGGGAAAAGGACTTCAGGGAAGAGAACTACAACAGCCCCAAACCCTTCCCTGTTTGTGCATTGACAGCCTGGTCCTACAGTTGTATAAGCTGACACACATTCCCAATCTTATGCAATTTAAGCAACTCTGTGAGGTAAGCTGCTTTCATTAGCTTCTTTTTTTATAAAGAAACAGAAGCTGAGAAATCTAAAATTGAATTAGAATTCACATCTCCTAGAATCCAAAGCATGTAATCTACATGTAAGTCATTTTGTCAGAAGTTACAATATCCTTGTATGAATATAAGTTAACAAATGCTCAAAAACCAGATTCAACATAATGAAAACCTCCTAACATAAAAATTACACCTGGAAGGGCAGCGCCATGGCACAGTAGGTTAATCCTCCTCCTGCAGCCCCGGCATCTCATATGGGCACCGATTCTAGTCCAGGATGCTCCTCTTCCAATCCAGCTCTCTGCTATGGCCTGGGAAAGCAATAGAAGATGGCCCAAATGCTTGGGCCCCTGCACCCACGTGGGAAACGGAATAAGCACCTGGCTCCTGGCTTTGGATCGGCACAGCTCTGGCCATTGCGGCCATTTGGGGAGTAAATCAATGGAAGAAAGACCTTTCTCTCTGTCTTTCCCTCTCACTATCTATAACTCTACCTCTCAAATAAATAAATAAAATCTTTTTTAAAAAATTACACCTGGTGGGCCGGCGCCGTGGCTCACTAGGCTAATCCTCCACCTTCAGCGCCGGCACACCGGGTTCTAGTCCCGGTCGGGGCGCCGGATTCTGTCCCGGTTGCCCCTCTTCCAGGCCAGCCCTCTGCTGTGGCCAGGGAGTGCAGTGGAGGATGGCCCAGGTGCTTGGGCCCTGCACCCCATGGGAGACCAGGAAAAGCACCTGGCTCCTGGCTCCTGCCATCGGATCAGCGCGGTGTGCCGGCCACAGCACGCCGGCCGCGGTGGCCATTGGAGGGTGAACCAACGGCAAAGGAAGACCTTTCTCTCTGTCTCTCTCTCTCACTGTCCACTCTGCCTGTCAAAAAAAAAAAAAAAAATTACACCTGGTAAATTATTATATATAGAACAATTCTAAACTAAATGTTTTAACATGAATTTTACAACATTTGCTTTCTTTTGTTACATGGTTTAAATCCTTTGCATTTCAAACTAAGTAGCAGGGTTGGGGCCAGCGCTGTGGCATAGCAGGTAAAGCTGCCACCTACAGTGCCGGCATCCCATATGGGATGTTCAAGTCCCAGCTGCTCCACTGGGAAAGCAGTAGAGGATGGCTCAAGTGCTTGGGGCCCTGCACCCACGTGGGAGACTTGGAAGAAGCTCCTGGCTCCTGGCTTCAGATCGGCCTAGGATCAGCCCAGCTCCGGCAATTGTGGCCATTTGGAGAGTGAATCAACAGATGGAAGACCTCTCTCTCTCTCTCTCTCTCTCTGTTTCTGCTTCTCTGTAACTCTGCCTTTCAAATAAATAAATAACTTAAAAAAAAAAAAAACAAAACTAAGTAGCAGGGCTGGTGCTGTGGCACAGAGGGTTAAAGCCATAGCCTACAGCATCAGCATCCCATACGGGTGCCAGTTCAAGTTCTGGCTGCTCCACTTCTGATCCAGCTTCCTGCTAATGCGCTTGGGAAGGCAGCAGAGGATGACCCAAGTCCTTGGGTCCCTGCACCCACATAGGAGACCTGGAAGAAGCTCCTGGCTTCATGTCAGTCCAGCCCCGGACATTGCAGCCATTTGGGGAGTGAACTAGCAGGTGGAAGAACTCTCTCTCTCTCTCTGTTCCTACCTCTCTCTGTAATCCTGCCTTTCAAATAAATAAAATAAATCTTAAAAAAAAAAAAACTACATAACATCAATAATTTTAGGAATAAAACCACATTTTTTTTTAAATAAAGACCAAAAGGGGAAAAACATACAAATAAAGATAATCATTAAATAGTTGAGTATACTGTCTAACAATGCACCAAAAAAACATTTTCCAACATTAATAATCTGCCTAGGAAACTTGAAAATATATAAACTTTTCACCCCCTCACCAAGATTATTCTGGATCCCTGATAGTAGGAGCACCAAAGCAGTTGCAACATACAAACATCTGATGTAACAATGTCTCACAAGCAGAGAGGACTGGTCCAGGCCATGTAAAAGATGGGATGGACTTCTTCCAGAAGTGTTCTCAATGCCTTTCCTATAGCCGAGACCAGAACACCTTCAGGGTACCACTACTTACCATTCTCATCACAAACAATAGTGCTTGGGCATCCAGAATATCCATAAAATCCTACTTAAACACCACATAGTGGAGTGAATATGCACCTGAAGTGTGAGTTGCTTAATATTTTCAACACAAATATGTAGCATTTCAACTACACAGTAGGTTAAACATGCCTTTAAAGGGTAGTCTAGAACCTTACCAACTTGCATATTTTTTTCAAGGGGAAATGCATTTCAAATTCCAAAGCTCAGACTTAAATTCGAATTTCTGAAACATAGCCATCTGTAAGAGGGTAGCTACCTGCACATACCGTGGCAGTGGCTGAAACAAGACAGCACTGGTAGGAAAGAAGGGGAACTGTCTCTGAGTCCTCTGTAGGGTCAGCACGGAACTGGAAAGATCATCAAGTCTACTGTGGCGAAACTTAAAATAGCTCCTTGCCATCACTGCATGTTTAGTGAAGAACAAGAGAAAAGGGGAGACCATAGAATTTCAAAGGACTTCTGAAAAAAGGCAATGTGGAGGCAATGATTAGCTTTACTAATAGGATTATAAAAGGTTGTAGCTCACAAATCAGAACCACAGCTTACTGAAAGACAGCTAATCAGTAGATTGCTGCAAAGATATTTTTAAAATATCTTGCTCTTACAAATGTGGAAGTTAAGCACCCTCGAGAACACAGCCTTCCCTAGTCACTTGCTTTCTAAAACACAAGGAAATGAAAATGTGGAAATGAAAGATTGAGTAATCAACCTAATTTTGCTTTCAGGTCACTGTGCTGGCTAAACTAGGAAACATGAACTTCCAAAATCCTACACAAATTCAGAAATTCAACAAAAAGGCACTGAGTGCTTCCTTTCTGTTTCCAATGTATTTTATGAATATGAACGAGCAAGTGTGCATAGCATAGAATGTCTGGCTTGTACTGGTTTCCAAAGAGGCAACTAAAGCCATGAATTAGAACCATGAATTGGAGAGCAGCATCCCCGGTAAAAAAGAAACAAAAAACTAAGCGATGATTTCCTGGAAGACAATCCTTTGCTACAACTTACAAAGATCTATGGAACCCACCTATTTTGTCTATATGGCCCTTTGCACCCACTGCCAAATGCATCACAGCACCTC